CCCCCCAGTCGTCGGCACGCTGATACAAAAATGGCACTTCTTATCAAAAAGTTTGCCGACCCCTGGGTTAGACAAACAAGCCTTTGTTAGAGCACATTTTATTACAGGCTGATTCAGAGATAAACATTAACAGGGAAGTTATTTTTCCTCTCTTCAGTTTTGTCTGGTTATTGGCTTCTTCAAATTAATATTTCATCTGAATATAGTTAGTTCACTATTATAGGAAATATTGGAAAGTACACTTGTTAATTAAACAAGTTATATCTCTCTAAATATGTCTGTTAAATGTGAATCTACAGAAAGTAGCAGGCCATAAAATAGACCAGGATGTAAATCTGTGTCATTATGTTTCAACAAATAACATATAATAATATAGTAAGTAGTTTGTTTAAAAAAGGGGGATAAGTGGATTTTGATAACTGTTTCCCCATATTTCCATCAGTTTTCATGCTAAGCTAAGCTAACCAGCAGCTAGCCATACATTTACAGGCCATAATGTGAGAGTGGAACACACATTTCTCAAAATATCCTGCAAGTAGACACTCAATTTTGTTTACATACTACATTTGAACATTTATATCAAGATATCGTGGTTTTGTGGGGGATTTCCGTGATGAAGAATATTAAACACATTTGTAAACTGCGGTCATTATGTATTGAAATGTGCTGAGGATGCTGCTAGCACCTTGTATAAGTTGCTCTCACGATAGGAGTTCCCAATTCACTGAAGCTTTCAGTATGCTTGTGAAATATAGAAGTGGAAAAAGGGTACATTTGGGCAAATAATCACAATGAGAAGCCAGGGATGATCCTTTAACATTGTGACCTTCTTTACAGATGTGAGAGTGGAGACCATATTCAAAAGAGTGGAACAGACGTATCCGACAACATCTGTGGTGAGTTTTTGAGTAGGCTGATGAATTGTAATGGTTTCTCATCTTCAGCTCTCTTACCATCTGCAGCTGTGTGGTTAGCGGTGACTCGCTCAAAACGACACCATGTAGGCGACGAGATGTTAGATCTCATAAACCTGTGTTTGTCTGTGGTTTTAAGTGTGGGATTAACACTCTTCTCCTACACCATGGTTACACTGCTTTGGTGTGAAGAGGCCACTGTCATTTCATTGTTATAGAATTTAAAAAAGTATGTGTTGACTTCCTGAACATGTTAACAACTGCATGTGGGCTTCCGCTGATGAAATGCAAATATGTGATATACATGAAGGTAACCCATTTCCTGTTGTGGAGGGAGATTTATTTACTGTATAAAAGACTATGTGTCTTCATAAATGCCCATATTTTTCTCAAATATCGAATTATCCAGTATTATATGCAATGATAAATGGTGAATTGTGTGTGAAAGGCCTGATATCTGGTTAATGGTTCTCTTGTTTTGTATTGCAGAGGCAAATCGGAATCATCTCATTTTTATCGGTGTTATTGTTTCTTTCGTGCTTCTTGCTGCAATTGGAGTTGCGTTTTGTATTTATAAAGGTACGTAAGGCACTTAATGTTCTGTTGTTTAAGGAGTTCTCTGTAAGGCACTGAAGGCTCACCTCTCGTTTTGTCTCCCTTCTGTTAGGTCAACGAGATGATGCAAGAGGAAAGGTAAAGGTAAATGTGAATTCTATCTTGCTAGTTACCGAAGAAACCAGAAATATTCTTATTGCACTCTCAAAAAGACAATTGACCGTCCAGTGTTGTCATTGTTCCCCAAAATGACATTGTACATCATGTCACTTCCACACTTTATTGTCTTTTGATTAGCTCCATTTGGAGAAAGTTTGGCATCTTACAGTATGCCAGTTTGCCTTCTTGAAGACGATTGAATTGGAAGCTTAATACCATTTAAAATCTGTATGCTAAATATCAAGCTCCTCGCATAGTTTAGCTTAACAATAGTTTAGTTTAGCTATGTTATGGTTATTATAACATCTTGGACAACAGTTGAAAATTAGCCTGCTCGCTAACACTGGCACCTTTACAGCAATGTTGATCAATGTGCACTGTCCTTTAAATAAATAAACAAACACACAAACAGATATAAAACACGGTGAACATGAACCTCACTTATTAACATGCGATGGGTAATTTGTGTAATCTGAAAAAAGAAAATGCAAGTTGGGCTCTTTTTAACTTTAGACAGAGCCAGGCCATCTGTTTCACATCTACAGGGCGTCCATGGGGTCTTTAAAAAGTATTAAAAGTTGATAAATCAATTTAGCGACAAATGAAGGCTATTAAAAAGTATGAAACGGCATTTTCCAAGGTATTACATTTTGTAGCTTGTTTTCAATAAGTATATAAATTGTCCAAAGAGGTTGTATTCTACAGTCTGCCTGAATGTAATCATTGCGTAGGTGTGTAGTGTGATTCTGTGTAGTTTATTTACGGCATCCCGTTGGATTTGACGTCATCTGAACAGGACATCGCACGCTCACTGCTTGATAGCGCGCGAAGGTCCGTTTACGCCGGTTGCTAAGCAACATCGTTATGGGGAAATGCAAGTTTGGGTCCAAATGGTTGGAAGATAAGGAAGAAGGACAATCAATACTGTATTCAGTCAATGTGAGGTAAAGTGTGTCGCCAAGGTAACCGGTTAGAACTCAAAGTGGCGATGAGGTCTTAAAATGTATGGAAAGGGTCTTAAAGGGTCTCAAAGGGATTACATCTGACTTCAGGGTTCCTGCATATACCCTGTACTAGCTTCATATTTTGCATACAGACATGAGAGTGGTATTATTCTTCTAATACAACTCTCGAAAAGAAAGCTAATCAGCCCAAAGTAGTCAAACTATTATTTTAATTTAGGGTACATAGGGTACTGCAGAACAGATCTAGCTGGAAATGTACAGCTGTTTTCTAGTCAATTAACCTGCAAAAGTAAAACAGGTTTTCTATTCTTTTGAAATTGGAGTAATCGGAATATTAGCGAGGATTTATACACACTGAGATATACAAACTGTTGATTGTTGATGTGTAATATCCTTTATTAAACAACATTTTACTCTTGTAGGGCTGTTTTCAATCGTGTTGGGGAGAAAATAGGGAGCTGCTGAGAGAGACCAAAGTTGAAATGACACAGCCGACTGCAGAAGAAGAGCTGCTGTCCCAGCCGCAGGAGGAGGGCGCTGGAGTACCCGAGGAAAACGAGGACCATCCGAGCTACGAGAATGCATCAGATGCCCTTTTCTCTGATAATGGAAACGTTGTGACTCAAGACATTGGGATCTCGTCAAAACTCTCCCGACAGGAATCACAACCACACACATTGACAGGCGATCCGCAGCAGCTGAACTCAGATAATATTTGATTATTTGAAGTTAGGATTGTTGAGCATTGTTGCCCCATTTGTACATAATTCTCTCCTCTTCTTAATATGTATATAGTTGCCTTTAGTGTTAGAAATAACTTGTAATGTGTTGAAATTATTACATTGTAGTGTCAAAATACTAAAAGTGTGGCACACTACAGTATTTTAATTTTAAAAAGTAGCCATTTTTTTTAAGTTTGGTGGTAATTTCTCTGTTTTTATATTGTGATGTCATCCGCTTATTTGTAAATTCACAATTTTACTTTTTTTTTTTCACAACTCATTATGGTATTACTTGTGCATTGAATCGGCATGTTCATTTAAGCTTTTTATTTGCATTAAAAATGTGTAAAATGTTTTCCACTATCAGTGTGTCTGGTCTGTCTTATGAATGGGGCCTTAAAAGAAATCCCATAATGCCTTGTGGTGATATAGCCTGTAGCCTAGATGCTAATTCGATGTGCGACACCTTGAGCCCAATCCTTTTTGCCTAAATGTGTGTGAAGTTCGAAATAATGCTACATTAAAAGTATGCCGAATCATCTGCAAGCTGTTGCTGTAAGCACCGAATTCATGGTTAACTATTACCGGATTCCTTTGATACAGTATTCAACTTTAAAATGTACAGATTTTCGAGCAGGTTTTTGAGTTGTTTTCAGCGTCCATTCTTTCTAAACGGATTTTGTTATGTTTATTCGAGATGGACTTGGGGGAAATGACATCCTCGGAAACTGTAAGTCACGCTGAAACTTAACATTTGTTTACGACCTCGTTTGACTTCATTATAACACTTTGGAAATATAGCTTACAAAAGGCCTAGTGCGGTTGAATAAATGCTGCTGTAGTTACATCTGATGTCCTCAGGGTGGTGCTACAGCTTCACTTTATTAAAGTTGAACTCTTAAGTGTGTTATTACCTTTATTACTTTACCCCACTGCTCAACAGAGGTGGGGGAAGTACTCAGATCTGGTGCTTAAGTAGTGTAGGAATACTAAAAGTCTGCAATAAAAATGTTACTCAAGTAAAGCAGAAACGTATTGGCATCAAAATAAACCTAAAGTACTAAAAGTTAAAGTACTGGTTATGTAAAGTGGCCCATTTCCCAATAATATATTATATGTTTTGGTAATAATTAATGATCATTAAAGTGTTATCAAAGCTGGTAAAGGTGAAGCTAGTTTGAATGACTTTGTATACTGCAGGGCAGCTTTTGAATTTACTCCAGGTTTAAGTTACAAAAGTCTGATTTAAGTGCTGATTCTATTTCACATCATTAATCCAAATCTGCAAAGTAATTTAAGGTATTAAATAAATGTAGTGGAGTCAAAGTACAATATGTTACCTCTGAATTGCAGTGCTATAAGTACAAAGTAGCATAACATGGAAATACTCAAGTAGCCTACTGTACAAGTACCTCAAAATTGTAGGTTAATGAGTTTGAATATTCTATTAAATACAGAACATAAAGACATGTTGTAATTGCATTGCGCAGTTGCTTAGCTAGTGGGGGTGAAAGTGCTTTCACGATTTCGGCGCACATTTGACACCCAGACCTGAAACCAGGATGTGCTCCGGTACAGTACTATGTAAATGTATTTGGTTACTTTAAACCACTGCTCCTCAATGATATTTTAATTGAAGATGTAAATAACGAGTAGAAAAGGGGTCATTAATCAGGCTAAAACTGTTAATATCAAAATTAAAGGGAAACGTTTTATCATTAGGCCTAACTCTTAACATGTTGAGCTTTCATTACATGATATTCTGTTATTCATCTGTTTCCTGGGAGAGAAGAGGCTCAAATGAGAGCTAATCTGTCCTCTGTGTGTTCCTGTTTGTAGGGATTTGCATGGAGAGGTGCAGCAGCGCTCCCAGGGGCTTTCTCATTATCCCTGGATTATTGGAGGTACAGCCCTTTGAATTTACATGAAACCCACATGTGCGATTGATAGTGAAGAAGAATGCCTCTGCCAAAACTTTACAAAGACTTTAAAAGACCTGTGAACCTGCTGCTGCTGCCTAATCTAAAATCAATTGTAGAATAACTGTTAAAATGGCTGAAATAAATACATCAAGTAGGGTAACACGATCATTTAAAGAAAATGTGAGGTCTGAAAATGTGAGGTTCAAAGTGTAATGGCAGGGACTTAAACCTATTGGAGAAGATTAAAATACTTTGGTTTGATGTGCATATTAAGGCAAAAACTCTTTCCTATTTACATAAATAATCCCAATCATTGTTATTTTAATTTTACATGCGAATTTAAATTGATCTTAAAAGAAAATTCTACCTTCTGTGCGAAAACATTAACACAAATTACATGTAAAAAAAATGTAGTTTCATATTTGATCTTCACTGTTGATGTAAAAGAAGGAATGAAAGCTCAAAGTGAGTTTTTCAATCATTGCAAAATCACCAGAAACACACGTCAGAATTTCGCTAGAAGCTGAATTTTATTTAAGCAAAAAATATTTCTTCATGAATAGACAAAGGACATTTAATTTACATGTTTGTTGTGGAAAAATACATCTACATTTATTTACAATAACATGTGTAATCTTTGGTCTCAGAGCAGATTTATTTCATTTCACTGCAAACTTCAGGAATAAGCGACCAAATCCCTGAGGTTTGAAAGTTTAAAGTGCAATAGAAGGTGGAAAAATGTCTCTTAATGTGTGTCTAAATACTTTCTTAGACAACTTCATGAGTGTTGTAGCATGACGGAACAAACAGCCCGTTTCTTGAAGCCCACTCTGCCCACAGTTTTCCTGCCGGGTTGTAAAAACTGTCCAGGGGTTTCTTCACAGTCTCCGAGGTGGCGGTCTCAGCTAAAGACCAGATTTTGGGTTTCTGGCTGATTTCTTTACTCTCCAAAGCGGATATCGTGTGATCAGAGTCACTTTTCTCAACTTTCTTGACAAGTGTAAGTTCTCTCCTGTCTCCCTGTTCGCTGCTTGGCTCCAGACGCGCGTCCACAGAGGCCGGGCTCTCCAACAGCTTCTCCTCGGTGTCTGCAGGGTCGATCTGAGCCTCTTCCTCCTCCGGGTTCTGCATTGAACTATCCGCATCGTCGCTCTCTCCCTCCAGCTCATCATCCTCCTCCTCCTCGTCTGATTTCCCCTTATTACACGCCCAGCTCACCCGGTTCTCCTTCTTCAGGCGTCGCCGTGCGTTAGCGAACCAGGTGGAGACCTGCGTGAGGCTCATCTTGGTGATGATGGCGAGCATGATCTTCTCGCCTTTAGTGGGGTACGGGTTTTTCAAGTGCTCGTTCAGCCAGGCCTTCAGCGCCCCGGTGCTCTCTCTTGTGGCCACTTTGGCGACTCTACCGGGATCCTCGGCTGCTCCGGGGCGGTACGGAGAGTAGAAAGCCCCCCCACGAGCCAGGAGAGCAGGGTGGTATGGAGAAGCGGCCTTCAAGTCGAACCCGTTGTTCTGGAAAACAGAGAGAAGGAACGTAAGGACGAGGAAAGGAGTGTGGATGCGTAATTACGCACGGATGTGGCGTCTATTGACTTTAATGAGTTACTTTTGACACCATAATATAGGGAATGCATGATCATGCGGAGAAAAAAAAGTGTTTAAATTCTAACATTTCACAACAATAGAATCTTGAAGAAGCTTTTTCGGAAAAATGCTGGTTCAGCTTCTCCAAATCAGACTTTACGCACGTTTTTGTTAAAACTAAGTTGTTATGACTCTACTTTATATATTTTTGAATGCTTTCTCAACTCACCATGTGTGTGATGTGCCTGTGGTGCGGGTAGGGGATGAAGTTGTATCCCTGTAGTCCTGAGTAAGTTAGAGGAATCCCAGCTGCCATGGTGGCCAGGTGCTGAGCCTGCTGCTGCTGCTGCAGACCCAGGATCTGATATCCAGTCGGCATGCTGATGTTCCTCTCCAAGAAAAAGCTGCCAATTCCACTTTGCGATGCGGGCATCTTTCCTGCGTCCCTGCTATTTGAGTTTGAGTGGCAACTAGCCTCCTAGATCTATTTATATCAAGCCAGCTGCCAGCGTGTGTTTGCAGGGGGGAGGACGGGGGGAGGAAGGGGGGAGGTCCCACTGGTAGTGACTGACAGCTCCGTTCAAAAGACCCACAGCTTTCACTGGCAACAAATCCCATCAAAGAAGCCCTCCGCTGTTCCTTTTAGCGTTTTCGCGGAGAGGCTAAACATGTGCTACTT